CCACTAATTACCCCTGTCACCTTGGGCAATTGACTTGATCTCTCTCAGCCTCACTCTGCTAATTTATAAATAGGAATAACACTCATCTTAGAGAGCTAGATGGTGAATTAATTATGTATACAAGCATATTATTGAAATGTTCCTGATATTTGTAAAGGTGAACCATTTAAAAATAACTTCCAGGCATTGAGATTTAGCCCAGTGGTGCTGCTGCCTGGCTTGCAAGCGCAAGGTCCTAAGTTTGATCCTCTGTACCAAAAAAAACAATGACTTCCAACCCTGTTTACAGAAGGTTCCATTGCTCCTGGCTCCATGACATCCATTTCAACTCCTGGAAGTCACTGGCCAAATGACAAATCCATTATGGGATGCACATGATGTAGGCTGACAGCACTTGAGAACCTGGGACTCGAGACATACTTGTCCTTGTCAAGAAGTGTGCCAGGAGTAGCACAAATCACATGCTGTTTGTCAGAAAAATATGGAGTCAAAATCAGAACGACAAAAAAAAAACCAAAAAAACCTCTCAATTTCTGTCAGAAAGGCCACAACCCACCCCGGCAGTGTCACAGATACGTTTCTATGCTACATACAGAAAAATGAGGGCCAGGGACAGATACAAAGGAGAAAAGTGGAGCAGGGCCAAAGAGGGAGAACTCAAATCTGCCTGGGAACAGGAGAGAGGGCAACTGAAGATAATTGTGCTTTAAGTGGATAGCCTGAGTCTTCAGTCTTTTCATCTTCCAAAAATCCCCAGAACACAACAGGAGGCAGCCCAGTCATGCCCGTTGGACCAGCCCAGCTTCTTTCTTGACACCATCTGCAACTGCTGCCGCCATCTGTTCTAGAATGCTGCCGCTCTTCCCTTCCTAAATTGGCAGGCAGGGGTTGGGGGGAAGTCCACTCACCCCCAATAGTCATTTCCCCAAATGCAGTTAAGCCGTGGCCCTGAATTCACATTTGACCCAGAACCAATTGGCATCCTTTGGTGTTTTTCAAAAGCCAGAGAAGGTGGAGGAGGATACCACGCTCTAGCAGCTTCCTCTCCCCAGTTCACTGGCCACATCTTTCAATAAACAGTGTGCCTCACCCTCCTAAGACCTGCCTATTTGTATGGTAAGGAGGATAAAGCAAAGCTAGCACTGCTTGGATGGAGGCTTTTACAAGTACTTCCAGAGCCACTGTGTTGGGAGATGAGTTAACAAAGGAAAAACACTGACATCTTACAGACTGTCCCCATAGGAGAGAAAAAAATAAAGGAGATGAAGAACTCATCACAGTGCATCCTTCCAATGGAGTCTTAGTTGACTTCGGTGCCATCAATCTTCTTGAATGGAAGAAAGGCCGATGTGCCAAGGAATGCAGAGTGTAAGTTGCAGGTCTCACTCAGCCAGGCCCAGAGCTTTCCTTGGTTAGAAGAAGATGAGCACCCCAGGCCCTAGAACTCAGAAAACCTCAAGGCAGCCATGGTAGATTTCTGTTTGCAACCTGCAGGCTGCTGATCTGACTTCAGTCATCATTTCTTTGTTCTTTGTTCTATGACTGTGATCCTCACATAAGCTTCTAGGCCTCACCTTACTCACCCATGAAGTGGGATTACAATGCCGAACCTGCAAGGCTGTTGTATGTTATGAAGTACCCAGAACATAACAGGCCTACCCCACCAGATACATGCAGAGATTTCATGTATGATCTCTGACAAATTATGCCTTTCAGTTGTTTTTCTCAGGTATGGTATATGCCTGAAACTCCAGCTACTCAAGAAGCTGAGGCAGGAGGATCACCAATTCAAGGCAAGTGTGGATAACTTAGCAAATTAAAATATAGGGGTGTAACTCAGTGACAACCCTTGTCTAGTGTGCATGAGGTCCTGAGCTCTCCAACCTCAGTACAGAAGGAAAAAAAAAATCTTGGCTGTACTACCACACATTCATGGGCTGTTCCTTAATCCCACTTTGCCTCAAGGGCAGTAAAGGAAGCCATTGGTAACAATACAAAGCTCTTACAATACTGGCTGCCTTGTAGATGGTGACTGCTAGCAATTGTAGAACTTTCTCATTTAGTGACTGTCCAGTTTCCCCCTTATTTTTCTGCCTCTCTTGCAGTTGGGTTGGGTCATGTGAGCCATGTTGGTCAATGGGCTGTGAACAAGCATCATGCGACATTCCAGGCCTGAAGCAGTTGGTGCATGTTCACCAGCTTTTTCTTCCTGTATCTGCAGTCATGGAAAGCATGTGCTGAGGCAGTAGAGCTACAATCTGGAAGCAGTCGGAACCACCAAGTCACCACACAGAGAACAGCTGCACTGAAATCACCCAACTTGGATCAAACTTTGCAAGAAATAAACCTTTATTTCAGAAACAGGAAACATTTGCTGAGGACTTAGAATGTTCCAAGCACCATATGCAGGGCTTTATTTAATAATTCCTTTCTTGTTGCTGTAAGAACAGCAGTTCTAATCTGGGGATAGTATGAACACCTGAATGACATCAACAATGTCTGGTGACATTTTCCATTGTCATAACTGAAAGCTTCTTACTGGCATCTACTGAGAAAAGACCACGGACACTGCTTGGTGGTGGTGTAATGAGCTAAATATACCAAAACGAAGACTCTCTTGAGGTCCAAGGTCTCAGAAGTCACCACTACATCTCTCCTACTTTGTTACACTCTGCATTAAATGTGAGCATGTGCATCTCCTTCCTATCATGTTCAAATGGGAATAAACCACACACAGTTCTGTACTGAATATCTTGAGTTTATTCTCTCAAAGAACCAATATACCTGCTGCCTCACTTGTCTCTGCTGGTCTTAGCCTCACATACCCTCAAGTCTCAGGGCAGACTCTGATGGAAGTCCTTTCCTTTAAGATTCCTTGGCCCCACCCCAAGACACAGATGATGCAGGGGGAAACCTGTGTTACCTACCAGCTCCCCAAGAACAATCAAGACTGAGAATTACAGGGACCCCCTTCAGCTATGCCCTGGGTCTCAAGGTCCCAGGCCCAAGGTGGGATCGCTTTCCAAAATTCATCCCAGTCCCTTCGCCATCAGCAACTACTCAGGTCTTTCCACAGACTTTCTCTCCACTCAAATTACATTGAAACCATTTAGGTTTGGCTCCATGTCCCCAAGCTCTTTACTTTTCAGATCTTACCTTGTCCTCCCAAGTGACTTTAATCACCTTCCTTCTGAAATACTCTCGCTGGCTTTAGTGAGCTGTTTGGCTCAGTCACATATGCATGACCCTATTAATCCACAATAAGTATACAGGGATCAACAAGGTTAAAAATAAACTAGCTGGGTACAATGCCACATGACTATAATCCCAGCTATTCAGGAAGCTGAGGCAGGAGGATCACAAGATGAAGGCCAGCCTGGACCAGCTCAGCAAGTCCCATCTAAAATGACGAAAAAAATAAATAAATAAAAGGTTGGGATGTGGCTCCACGGTACAGTGCCTGGCTGGCATTATAAGGCCCTGGGTTCCATTCTCAATACAACTTAAACAAAAACAAAAGTGGCTCTAAAGCAGTGAAGTTGTTGCTTCCTGTTTATCTAGTTTGGGAAATTTGTGTATGCAGTAACGGTGAGGGTTGAGGGTTGGGGATTTAGCTCAGTAGTTCCGGCATCTGCCTCACAAGCACAAGGACCCGTGTTCGATTCGTGGTACAAAAAAAAAACAAAAACCAAAAAAAAAAACAGGTAAATGTGAGATACTAGTAACATTTATCAATACTAAAAGCAAATCCTGAACAAAACAGTAGCTTGGGACAGGCAAATTTGGATCTTCATTACAGATGGTATTCAAAGCTATGAAATGAAGGTGGTCTTACCAAGGAAGGTATATAAGTCCAAGAAGAAAACACTGGCAAAGGCCAAGTACCATAAAGGACAAGACTGAAGGAAAAATCACACCAATGCAAAAAGGAAATAAAGCTGGTCCAAGGAAGGAGTGGTCAGCATGGCCACACAGCCCTGGGAGTCAAGTGGGCAAAGAATTGTGTTTCTCCACCTACACAGCACAGCTGATTTGAACAAGCAGCTCCAGTGGAGTGGCAGGCCTGCAGTGTAACAGTCCAAAACAAGCCTTCAACGGGGAAAAGGAACAGAAGTGAAATAGAAACCAGACAGAGGTGGCCCAAGATCAGTCCATGCTGAGGCAATGCAATAGAGGGGTTTTAAAAGAAATTTATGTACTTGTTTCATACTGTTTCAGAACAAGCTAGGGAATCACCTAATGTTCTTGATCAACAGTTTTGTCAGCCTACAGAAAGGCACAGGACACTGAAACCGTGAGTGAAGTGTGAAGATCCTGTAGGTAGTTGGCCCACCACTCAGCCCTGCAGAAAGGACAGGCCCAGCAGCTGGCCCAAGGCTCCCCACCACAAGGTGCTCTGGAGAAAGGCAACACAGACCCCCGGTTGATTGCTGATTTTCAAAAACAATTCAAGTGAAATCACAAGCAATTTCCTTCCTCCTAAAATGTACACCCTGAACATTTTCTGATTATGTATGCAAATGTGATACTTGTAATTTCCTAAGTGAAAGCCTGTAGAACATTTGGTCAAAGTATTATTTGCATTATCAAAAAGAATGAATCAGAAAGGTGAAAGTACATGACAAAGTCTTTACTTTTACTTTTCAATGATTACTGATATACCAAATAGTAAGTAACAAGTTTTTGAATCCTATCATCTAGTAAATTTTTTTTGTTATTTTGTTTTGATTTGAGACAAGGTTTCACTATGTAGTCCAGGCAGGCCCAGATCTTACTATGTAGCCCAGGCTGACCTCAAACTCATGATCCTCTGCCTCAGCCTCCCGAGGGCTGGGATTACAGGCGTGCACCACCACACCTGGCTCATCTAGTAATTCTGGTTAAAATAAACTAAGCGCAGCCCAATCAAGTGTGCTAGTATTCATTGTTCTAAGCCTTCCTCAAAATATATCACTCAAAGGCTGGCTGCATCATACAAGTTACAAATGACTATTTACTACTTTTTCATAGATAAAGCCCCTGACCTTCAAGAAAGTGTAAGGGAAAAAGTCATTTAATCCCTTCCTTTCTTTAAAGAACTGTTTGTTCTTTTCTTACTAAATCTAAGAATAAGAAAGTCAACACTGATATACATGTTGCTTGAGCCAAAAGGTATAGGAAAACAGACAACATACACTCATTAAATTTCTAAGAAATATGAGGTAAAAAGAAATCTTTGGAGAAAAGTACTAAGTTTGTCCAAAGAAGCTAGATATGCTACTCTCCAAAAACTGAAGGGAACTATTTTACAACATAAGAAATAATTTAATGCATTTTATAAGAGCAGAAGTCAACTTTGCTAAAGCTTCATATCCCATGAGAGCAACTACAATGCTAATTCAGAGAACAGAAACTTCTTTCTTTTTTATCCATTGATGCGGTAGTTTTCATGGATTTCTGGCCGGATGTCACAGACAAAGGCCAAGAGGTTATCCAGGACCTCTTCCCTGTTCTGCCGGAAGTAGGTCTGGAGGACGGCCATCTTCTCCTGGGTCTCTTTCTCCACTTCACTGCTGCAGCTGCCATGGGATCCTAAGGCCTGCAGTTGAGAAGCAGAGACACAGGGAATATCAGGGGGATGTTCCTGTTGGCCAGAAAACAATTGGAGACCCTCAGGTTCCCTCAATGACAACCAATCAGCAGGCAATGTCACCTGTGACCGAAGCCCATGTGGGCAGAGAAGCATTCCTGGAGTTAACACGGGTCCACATCCATGTAGGGGTAAAGTGTACAGTAGTTCCCTGCTAGAAAATTATCCCCAAGATATACATTGCTCCAGAATGAACTGGACAGCTTTAACCAAAGGCTGGGAATAATCTAACAATTAACAGCTACAGTCACAGGACCAACCCCTGCAACCCCAGGTACTAGGGAAAATGAGGCAAGAGCTCAGTCTGAGGCTAGGAATCCAAAAAATTAAAATATTCAAAGACCGAGGAGTAGTTAAATAAATTACAAAATCTCTTCTACAGGAGGATATTCTTAGCCAGGTACATTAGAGCACATCTATAGTCCCAGCACTCCAGGAAACTGAGGCAGAAGGCTCACAAATTTGAGCTAGCCTGGGCAACTTACCTACTTAGCAAGAATTTACCTCAAAAAAAAAAAAA